CGACCACCCTCCGCGACGGTTCACGAGAAAGTGAGGAAGCAAGCACAGACCTGCACGGGATGGTACGACCTTGGTACACGGCGTACACGGCTAAGTCAATAAACTGGGTGACGCAACTCACTAGCGCGTTGGATCGACGGAGAGCACCGATACTCGGCACGTTCTACCGTACTCTCTCGCTCGCACACCTCCCTCCCATAGACCACCGAAATTCCTCGGCACCCGTCAACACCGACGAAGAGCACCGATACCGCGGCTCGCTCTACCGCTCTCGCTCGCACGCCGTGACGTCACCCGATTCCCGGAATCCCGCGGCCACGAGATGGCTCATTGCGGTAAGGCATTCCCGCAAAGGAAATTCTCGGAAATGGTTCAAGATTAGAAACTAAAATTTTACACAATTTAGTTTCTTGTGGTTATCAACAAATGCTGCAAATTCGAAAAATATCATTCATTAAGATCAGAGTTCTGTACGTTTAAGTGGGTATCGATACTTCTGTTTAGATACCTTCTTACAAAAGTAGTTATGATACTTCGTGTATCAATTCAACATGGAGTCACAGACTTCTCTTTCTAATGGGGCTGCTGGTGGGGGATCTCCTACGGCTGTGTGGAAGCACACATGCGTGCAGCATTTCTTCTCCTCATCGCCCTCTAGTCGCTTTCTCCTCACCTTGTGCGGTGTGCGAGCGAGAGAGGAATGACTCTATTGCTACTTCTGTCCTTCGGTCTCGCTTCATCCCTACCATAAGGGGAGTATACCCACTCACGAAAATAATTCCCGGCTGTCTCCGGCGAACGTAAACGTGAAGAATCACAAATGAATACCTAAACGGCTTAAGTTTGATAACGACATCTATGATCGACATAATAAAATTGATAAATTTAGAAGTGACAACAAAAGTGAAATTAGTTAACACAGATTTAGAGTAAAATATTATTTCAAAATACAAGTTACTATTCGATAACAACTGCTGCTTCTTGTATTTTGAAATAATATTTAACTTTTTGAATAATGGGCTTCGAAGGATAGTGTGGCACCATCTAACAACAAGACAATGGTACCATATCCTAATCTAAAGCCTCACAGCTCAGGGTCTTGACTAGGTCTATATATAGTTCGTCTGTGATAGTATTGTATCCCTGGGAGATTTGTCATTCCCGCTGTTTCTTAATGAAATAGAAAAGAACTTGTCCAATTGTTGTCGAGTTGTTATTTTTGTTTTTAATTATCTTGTACCTTCATAATATTTCCGGTATGACCAGTTCCGTCAGTACAAATCCATCGACTTTATTGCCTTTAGGTAAGAAATATATTGTTCTTTCACTTAAGTGATCTCTAACCTTCGTTTATTCAAATGCTACATTGCCCCGGCGTACGATTTGTAGAATTGGTCGACAAGTGCATCGGTTCTCGAATACACATTATTATGAAAAATGACAAGGAGATCGTCGGCACATTACTGGGTTTCGACGACTTTGTAAATATGTTACTGGACGACGTTACAGAAAGCGAAGCAACCCCTGAAGGACGAAGGGTTACGAAGCTCGATCAAATTTTGCTCAATGGTAGTCACATTACGATGGTTAGTAATTTCATATTTATCAGTACACTTCTGGTGTTTTGGATAAACTCTATTAATACAATCCGGCAGAAACATAGGTTGTGTGTTTCATGTTTATTAAAAATATTGTTACCATTACTGTATTTATATTAATATTAATGCTTGATTGCAGCTTGTACCTGGTGGAGAAATGCCTGATACGTAAAGTAATGCTTGTCTTTACTATTTTTTGTACAATAAAAGTGTAAACATTAATTTAAGCACACATACTAAAGATTAAGGATATCTTGAAATTGAAATTATTAAATGAAATAAATATTAGCGCTGCGTCAAGATACTGATTTCTCTAATGACCTGATTAGTGTTAGGTCTTTCTGAAACATTTTGTGACCACAGTTTTCTGTACAGAGCTTTATAAGCCCCTTTGAATTCGTCATTGATATGATCATCCTTAGGACGATGTCCTTTTGCGGATAGATATATGACAGTATGACTGTGTAAGCCAGTAAATGGTATTTGCCTAGACAAAATTTGCCAACCAACAATACCTAGAGAATAAATGTCCGCTGCAGGAGTTGGTTTATTCCCTTTCAATACTTCTGGGGCTGTATAACCAGGAGTACCCTAAGGAAAAAGTTATCTTTAATAAAAGAATAAAAGTGCTTCGATAATGTAAACATACATGAAATTCAAAAGTTGCGTTTGGTTCTCCTATTAATACAGAGCTGCCAAAGTCGGTAAGCTTTGCTTGGCCGTCTGCAGACATTAGAATATTTCTAGGCTTCACATCTGCATGCACGATATCTGCATTATGACAAAACTGTAACGCGACTGTTAGGTCCCGTAATATGGAAATTCTTTCATTTTTTGATAACACGACCGCATCCAGGCGGTCTTGCAGAGTGGTACCACATAATTCCATTGTTATCAAAGACAGACAGGCACCTTGTTCTATCATCAAGACTTTCACTATGTTCGAATGTCTCAACAAAGAAGCATGCTTCTCAGAATTCAATACACCTGTACATTTCCTAGTTTCCATTACTTTAGCTGCTACCTGATTGCCTATTAAAACATTTCATGTGCAGAAATAGTGTGTTTACAGTTTAGCCATACATGTAAACGATCAATAACTAACATTTTACCTTTGTAAGAAGCTTTATATACTGTCCCAAACGCACCACTGCCCAGTACTGTACATTGTTTACTTGGTAGTCCATCCTTCAATATTTTCCTTCTGTTAGGAGTATCAAGATTGAAAGGCGACAGCCGATCCTTATTTTCGATATTTAGTTTACAAGTATTCCTAGCTGGTGTTTTTGGACTTAACAATTGTCTGTGTAGTAGTGCATGTAAAAAATGTTTTTATGTTCAGATTAAATTTTCAGTATTTTTTACTGTATTACCTTCTTTCTGCAACTTGCAATGCACGCGGCGATATACTAAACAGTTTAACTGCGACTCTTTGCGGTGAGGCCATTTTAAAATTAAATACTTCACTGAGAACTTTAACACATGTGTTTCGTTTCGCGTCGCTTCGGTCATCGTAATCAAACCAAAAGAGTATGTGAAAGTCAAAGGCGTAAACAGATAACGGTAAATAAGTGTTAAGTTTAAATGGCATGGATGCGAGCATACAATAAAAAGTTAGAGGGCAATTAAAATGTTTTTATTTCTCTCTGTTCTCTAATATAAGGCATGAAACCATCTACTAGGAATCTATTTACTAATTATTACTCTTTAATACTGTACGATAACTAGATTATTTACAATTTGTTTTATGAACTCATAACAATCGATACTTATTTCGATAATCTCTCAATATAGGTAATATCTGTGGTATGCATACAGTAACATGTTAAATGTACTTGACATAACGTATCTAATGAAATTTTCGTGTTAAAAACTCGACGCTAATAGCACATGCTTGTAAGTACTGCCGGTATTTCTTACAGCAACTCGGGATATCTATCACAATTACATAGCACAGTGTTTTCGATTTAAAATTGGTATTTTATATAAATTAGTAGCAGCAGTAGCAGTAAGTAAATAATACGACAATACGATCTCTTCGTTACGGAAATGGTAAGATTAGGATCTGCTATATTTTTCGATAAGGTACTTTAGTCGATTAGTAAAATATTTTAACGGATTAAAATAGAGTGTCTTTTTTTTTTCTCTTTGTAATAGCATTTCAAAATACTCGTTTTGTTTTTATTTCTCTTTCTTTGTTGCACGTACTCGGATACACGATGATACACATTTATTAACATTATACCTTGGTCTTTTTCGAAAGTGTAGAACCTTTACACTTGGAAAACTAACAACTACCATAAAATTAATAGTAATCGAAGGCAAAATATCTACCAATACTGATCATTTCTTACAATGAAATTAAAGTACAAAGGGGAGGAGATTCGTTAGTAGCCTATTACGTGCGCAATTCAGTTTTCATTATTCATGTTTTGCTTATATTCTATTCTTTAAATAAGTACAGGACCGATTTAAGTGAGACGTTCTTTCGATGATCGAAATTAATGTCGATCCAAGCTTTTTTGAGAAGTAGAAATTTATGGAATTCTTGAATCGTTATCGCTTCCTTTCCCCGGATTTAATGATATTATCAGGTACTGTTCTGAATATATATCTGTTGGGAGTACCATATGCTTTGACTTTATGCTTATTCGTGCAAACGTAGTGTTAATAAAAAAAAAAAAATGAAGAATAAAAGATTCAAATTTTTAGTACTTATACAGTTACGAGTATGACGTTTGTATCAAGAAGTTGAAGGAGAATTTTATTCGAATAATAAAAGTGAACTCCGACGAAAGTCGATCGAACAGCGACCGGTGTAGAATAATAAGTGGTTTTTTTTTTAAGTACTCGCGGTTGGTTCACAAGATTACAAGAATGTTTTTTTTTCACGTTTCGCGACGCTCGAGTTTGTTTTCAAGTTACTTAGAAAATACCGTTGTTTCCATCTAGGAAAACTAGTAATAACATTTTTATAGCATATATTCAACAGATATTGCTAAGTGATTGTAATTCATTGCACGCAGTGCTAAACGTGTCACGGTCCCAAAGAAATTAGATAACTCTATAGTTATTGATCGACGAGAACAACTAACGAGAACTACTTGGACATCTCTTTATAAAAGATTCTCAGTTTCATTCGTCCACACGTGGTTCACCGTGTGGACGGACCAGCACCATTAATAATCCGCGATCTTTTGTGATTTGGCACTCACACGTATTCTGTGCCCTGTTCGCAGCTTGAAACTTTTTCCTGAGCAACGTGTCGTTCATCACCGTTCTTTTAGAGGCACTCAGAGGCACCCCTTATCACCCTACCGACTCCAACAAGGACGAAACGCAATCACAAGCTTCGATTACGAATATATCAGATGGTGCCTAGGTACTCGATACGGCTCGGCAATGTATATTTGTGTTTATACCATATTCAGAAAATATTCTTTCTTCAGACGCTCTAGCAAAAATAATGAATTTATTACAGCCTAATATATCATCGTTCTCCGCGAAACTGGTTTTCCATTATCTACGATCATAGATAACGTTCGTTCACAAATATTCGGACAGTAAAATTCCAGAGAAAAATCCACTTTAACTCGCTCGAGTACCCATATACGCAACCAAGATACATGTAAAAAAGAGAACCCGTCGTTTCACCTTAAACACGATATCGATTATATACAAATTTTGCGGTAAAAAATAATCTTCGCGAATTTAACGAGTTAACCAGCAGCTCTGTCGGGCATCAGAACCCACCCCCCTTTATCTAACTCTTAGCTACGCTCATTCGTAATTCACATCGGTATACATAATTTGCTCTTTCACGAAAAAATAGACTCTTTCTTCTTTCACAAACTCCTCCGTAGGCGTTCACAGGCGACGCTCTCTTAACAGGGAATACGAAAATTACGGAAAAGGGTATATAACGGTGGCGAATCGTTCGAGAAACCGAACCGCCTGGAAAATGAGATTAGGGGATAGGGTATAAAGTAAGGAAGGACGAAATGGGGCGAAAGATACAGTGATAATCAGGTGGGGAGGAAGAAGAAACAGGATGGAGGTATATATATATATATATATTCGGAGCGAGTCGAATTAAGGCACTATCTAACCAGGTAACGGAGCTTCTTCGTAGAAGTCCGGCTCGTCCTCGGTACTCTCGTGTTCCGATCCTTTGCTGTCGAGTGCCCTAAGCTCGGCAGCGGTGAAAAAGTGGCTCATCTGAGCACGAAGAGGTATCATTAGAATCAGGAAGAACGGTAGCGCCAGTGCCGCCCTGGTGCTCTTTACGATCCACAGTACCGTCAGGCACAGAATTTGTATCATGGTAAATATGTGCATTTTGTAGGTTTGCACGCGACGCACGTAGTTCGCTGTGCCGTGGTGCTTCACCGGCATGAAGAACAATTTCACACGATCGAACAGTTGGACGCCGTTCGTCGACGAGATGCCCATGTAGAGAAACACACCAAGAAGGACGGACATCGGTACGCGTCGCAACAGTGGCGCCATCAGCACGCTCACGCCGACCAATATGGCGACCAGCAGAGCGCTAACACGTTGCTCTTTCACCTCGACGATGTGTGGCTTGTCACCGGGCGCATGGGTACGAGACATCACTGTTACAGCGGACACGTGGGTCAACGAGCGGACGGAGGCCGCGCAACACCACGGGGCCCCGATCAGACCGCAGCCAACGTTCATCATGCAAACCACCACTATGTCCATGTGGTAGCCATTACCTTTCCGCAGCTTTCGCTCTTTCTTGTCGATAATTAGCCTGAAATGTAGGGGGAAACGTTAAGAAGGCTGCTTTGTTTCCGTTTTTGTAAGCTACAGACTCCTCTCGATTATTGTCCCGAACTCGGATCCGCGCCTGGACACTAATCTTGTAGGGAGATATGCTTCAGACCTTCGTAAATTCAAAGCCTGAGCCTCGGTAACAAAAGTGGAGGGACAATAATCGAGAGGAGTCTGTATATTGGATATTACATGTATGTCTGTACTGAGTTGTTGTTTCTTGAATAAATTTCTTTGATGATATTATTTCTAACTAGGGGAACTTCCCAAGTGTAACCTTTGCTACTTCCTAATTAGGTTTTGCTTGTGGTGGTTCTCTGGGTAGAGGGTCCAAATAGAGTAGCCACTACATAATTTTTTAATCACTTAACGAGTAACTACAAACGGACAAAAAGTGATTAAAATGTAGCGAGGGTTAGACTCGGGGGAATTTTTTTGTAAGAGAAACGACAGTTTCGGCATAATCTCCTCCGTCTTTACAATGAAAGTGTGAAAGACACCGATAAAAATAGTAAATGCGATGACGCAATAGCCTGATTTTGACAATCTCTCTTCGGTTCTATGTCAGGTAAACGTTTCTCAGATAAATCTTACTCGGAGATTTGGGTTTCCATGAAGACAAGAATGTAGACCAGCAAGGCGGGCACGATGCAAGCCATGGCCATCCAGAGTGGAATCGGTTTCTGTACTCCAACTGGCGAGACGATCCAACTTCTGCCGGGTATCGTCGGGGACAGACCCTCTGGGACTAGGAGCTTCTCCGTCTTCACCTCCGCCAGGTAATCGATCAGCACGAACACGATGATGCTGATCGGTACACCGAAGTCACCGAATGCTCTTCGGGCGCTTCGACCAAGGTAATGACTGTTACGGAAGATTCGCAGATAGTACGCGCCTAGAAAGGTACCCAGGCAGAGGATGGTGCACATCAACGCGGTGTTCGGTTGGTTTATCAGCAGACCAGCGATGTTACGGCCCGGCAACAGTATCTCGGGCCTCTTGAACGGTACGACGATCGGTTCACCACTCTCGGGCGAGACGATCCTTATCTCCGTGACGTTCACCTCCGTGTCCCAGTACAGTGTCTCGTTCGTTTCCGGGATAAAACTGTACTCGTCCAGGAGTGGATTCTTCACGAAGTAATTGTACAGCTTGATGAACGTCTCGACGATATAGAGGATCGAGATCAGGCCCGTGAAGATCTCCTCGGTGAAACGGGTGAACAAACGGACCAACACGGAACCCTCGACGCTCGCCACGGCGAGCGCTATGATTCCCATCCACGCGCCCACGTACACTCGGACCGTCAGGAATTCCAACTCGTTCGTCAAACAAAAATTGTAAAGACTCTCGTCGAACAGCAACAAGGGCCCTGTTGTACCGATAATGACCAACGGCTGAGTGGAGAACAGCGCCATCACCACGCCCGTCCACGAACCGGAGATTAACGTCTCTGATATACCGATCACGTCGTTCGTCTTGTCGCTCAACAGACCGCCGAACGTGATGGCGGTGCAGAGGGCGGCGAAATACATGAAGATCGCTGCTGCTAGACAGGACGAGTTCAAGCCGTCGGTGAAGTCGGACAGATAGAATGGATATCGTCTTTTGATGTCGTTGATCAGACCACCAAACGGACATTTCGTTCTGCGCAGAGGATCGTCGTCGTCGGGCGGTTTCTTTTCTTCTTCGCCGGCCAGAAGAGCTGCGGAAACCGCGACAAATTGGAAATTTTGCGATTTTCTTTTAAATTGATTTTTTCCAAAATTATACGTTCTGGAAGGTGTTGAACAGTGTTATTACTCGACAACGGATGTTTATGCATTTCTAGCGTCCCTTAACTTGGAAAATGCAATAAAATAAATGTTCCAATAAATATTAATACTATCTGTGTATTGTCATTCACACGTTAAACGCCGGAGGATCTTCGTACGTGTCAGCCACAGCGTCTAAGTGAAATCTTCGTTACACAGAGTGTATAAGAATAAAATATTACATAAAATTATTGAAGTAATTATTTAGTGAATATGCATGAACCTCCGCAGTCTAGTTACCCTCGTGACGATCCTTTTCGCTTCTTACCCTTCTTAACCGCAGCCTCGCTCTGTATCGGTTTACTCTTCTCCTCGAGGGCCTTCGCCTTCCGTTTCCGTATGGCCTCGCTCTTCGCCTTGAGCTCGTTGAACGGCAGCAACGCTTGCCTCTCCCAGTCGCCAGGCGGTAGCACGATCGAGTCGTCGAGAAACTCGTTAATGGCGGACAACAGTTCCCGCCTCTCGTTCGCTTTGTACGCGATCTTGTGAAACGACGTGTTCGCCATCAGCGTGGCGATCGAACGACCGATCTCGTGATAGTCGAGATCGGCGTTTCTCGGGCCCAGTAACGTGAACATGAATCTCACGGGTATGTTCACCTCCGTGATAGAGGGCATAAACGCGCCCTCTGCTAACCGAACGAAAGCGATCGTCGGTTGATCGAGGAAATCGACCGCCCCCACAAAAACGACCGTCGCCTCCGCACCGGCTGGAATTCGCTTCAGGATGTAATCGTTTTGGTTCTTCTTCAAATCCTCGTTGCTGCCGCCTGTGTACGTTTGTTCCTCCTTCATGTCGACCACCGTGTGATTGCTGTCCAGCGCCAGGCTCGATGACACGATCTTCGGCTTGGCGTCGTTCAGATTCTACATTGGGTGGAACAGGAGAATTCGTTACGAATGAACTTGGTACACGTTCGATGGGGGATGGGTTTAATGATATATGTGCTGAATAGATGCGTTTGCGATCGGGCAGAGGTACTCGGGAGAAGGGTTTCTCCCTTATTCTGGACAAGCTAGAGATAGTTGGGGTGGTCAGAGGCGGATAATGTTGTTCTTCGAAGGTGGAATACTTCTTCGAAGGTAAAAACTCTTCATTACTCGCGAGGAGATCTCAGCGATCGTTTAGAACAGCGGTTCCTAACCTCTTTTGACTTATGTACCACTTGGCAGCCAAGTTCCCTAAATTGTACCATTTAATATTAGAAAAATGGTTGTAAGTCGTGTACTTCTGCATTGTTCAATTTTTGTCGCATACCCCTAAAAGACCAAGCAAGTACTCCAGGTTGGGAACCACTGGTTCAGAAGTTCGTATCCAGCGGAACATCCGCCTCTGTTCGCGATTTTCAGAAAGTTTGAGGCAAGGGTGTGTCAGTTATCACGAAGAATGCGCACACAATGCGCAAGTACTGTATATTTTGATCGTTCCCTTATCAGACATTTTTTTACGAGGCAAGGGTGTGTCAGTTATCACGAAGATCCGAGAAATAACCTTGAAGAACAGACGCGTCCCATTCCGAAAGAATGCGCACACAATGCGCAAGTACTGTATATTTTGATCGTTCCCTTATCAGACATTTTTTTTTCATCCTTGCCAAAGTAACGTGGATATAGCAAGGATCAATTACGATAAATGAAACACCCCTGTGTTCTACTCACAAAATCGAATGGCTACTCGAGAAATTCAAGTATGTGTGTGTGTACCAAGCAGTACAGTAAATCATCGATGAGTGTTCGAAGGCTTTTAGGCGCTGAGTGTTCATACGTCATCCCCACCACTTGGTGTTTGACTGCCCTGGTGGTGGGGATAACGTCTGAACATTTAATGCCGAGGAGTCTTCGAACACTCATCGGTGATTTACTGTAATTCGGAACAGAAACGGAAAATCATAAAACGGGCCATAGAACAAATCGTACTACGTGATACAGTTGCAAAAAACAATTGATACGTGAAAGGAAATGAACGGTTGTTTTACAAAGAAGAAGAAAAATCAAGACAACAAAACACTGATCATTGTACGAACAAAAAAAGGTGAAGAGGCCCAACGAATAAAAGTGCAGTCGGGCAGCCTAAGAAATGAAGCGTACACGGTGTGGTCGAGACGAGAGATTCTTACATAGAAATAGCAAGGACGAACACTGAGGTAACGATGGTACGATGACAGAACAGAAAAGTAACAAAAACGGACAAGCGACAAAGGAACCGGGTTCCGACGGCGTATCATGGACTTACAGGTGTTCCGCGTGCGATTCGTAAGTGGGAAACAAGGCACAGCACAGTTTCTACTAGCTAATCAGCCAAACACTAATCGCCTGCTACGAGGGTAATCCTAAAACTAGGCGCTACTTTGGTCCCCGAATGGTTCCCCGTGACCGATCGTCGACGATTGGATGGTCGTCGTCGCACGCGGAGTATTCGACCTACACATGGAGATTTCTTGTAAGGAAGACTCTATCCACAATTTTTTTCTTCTTTTTTTAGGTTACCCGCGATAAAGACGATGATACAGGGAACGTTAAACAAAATCGGAAATCTGGGATGAAACAACTAATTTCCCCTGTAAGTTCATGCCGAAAACGATGGGGTTAATGCGAGTATCGACGATGATTTGAGCGAATATACACAGGGTGACCCATTTTAGGTGATACACGCAATTATCCTGTAAACTATTTGTTGTGGAAAACAAAGTGATTCTTGTTTAAGCTTATTTGGTTTTAATTGGGGGACATCTTGCGGTGCTCATAAATTTTATCTATTGTAGGTGGACGTGGCTTCGAGATTTCAAGGTGACTATTGTTTTTTTTTAACGGAATCATATGTTTTCTTTAAATAAGCTTTATGACCACCATAACATGCGTTGCCCCCTTGAAACTAAGTAAACTTTGCTTGAAACACATTATTTTCCGTAACAAATATAATTGCGTGCAACACTTCAAATAGTTCACGCTAGATACAGAGTGTCCCAAAATGATAGTACAATCCGCAACATACACATTCCTCGTGCAAATACAAATCGAAAAGTCCTTTACAGTTTTGTAATCGGAAGCTCCGTTTCCGAGATATTAACAGTTGAACCAACTCCAATCAGCTGAGCGGTGGGTCACACTTACGCGCAGACCGCTCAGCTGATTGGGGTACGTTCAACTGCTAATATCTCGGAAACGGAGCTTCCAATTACAAAACGGTAAAGGACTTTTCGATTTGCATTTACACGAGGAATATGCATGTTGCGGATTGTCCCATCATTTTGTGACACCCCGTACATATGGGGCGAGAGACTGAAATTATATATATGTATATAGCTTGGGTAAGGTTGAAAATACTGCGATCGAGAGTGTTCGGGAATCGAGAGATTTACATGTTCGGTTACATGGTTCTCAGAGGCTTCCCGCGCAGCGTCTTCTTCCTCCATACAGACGGACTGTGGAAACAACATTAGGACACACCGTCAGTCAGGCCTCCCGTCTCTACGGATTTCTATTGATTATTTTCTCGTTGGTAAAACCGTGTTTCGCAAGTACATAGTGTGTTGTTGTTTTGTTGAATCGAGCATATTTTCTTTTTTAGTCGCGGCGGGGATGGCAAGAGAAACGTTATCCGCATGGACTAACGGATCAGGACTGGAGAAGCTACGTCGACAGTAACACGACTGCACGTGTTTCTTTCTAACAAGAATGTCACAAGAACACGTTACGTTACTATCACATTTAACATCTAAATAGACAACGATACACGGCAAACAGTTCGCCCGATCCCCTGATTCGTGTATCGGGGGTGGTAACGAAAGAATACCACATGACAATTTCGACATGGGCGTAGCCAGGGGGACAGGGGGAGGCACTTGACCCCTCCTAGAGGGAAAGAAGTGGCTTTTTCTCTATCTTAGAAAAGTGTTTCCCAACCTTTTTTGGATCATGCCCCACTTCAACACCTCAAAGATCTCGATGGCTCCCTAGTATAATAGTAAACAAAGTTCTGAAAACATTAATAGCTACTACAGTAGACTCTTGATATCCACTGTCCACTGTCTAAATAAAAAAACGGCACACCTCCACGTTAGGAAACACTGCCCTGGAGACATAAAAATTGGATTCTGCCTTTCCCCTACAGGAGAAAAGTAATACTATAAAATCTACCTCAAGATAAATTTTGCCCCTTCTCTAAAAACCTGGCTACGTTCATGCAGTTCCACTATACCCGTGTAATTTACGGATTTTGTGTCTCGAAGCAACACGGTCAATCATAACGGGGACAGTTCACCTGCAGGCTGGTGTAGCTCGAGTAGTTCCTCTTCCCGCCGAAACGGAAGCCACGATCGTGCTCGTGCACGTGTCTGTGTCTAAGCAGAAGGGCCCTCATCACCACCGCTCGGTCCTCAGGTAGGATCAGTTCTTCGACCACCATTTGTTCGACGACTCTGTACGCGAGACCGGGCAGATCTTTCTCTTCGAGATCGAGAAGCACCACGCCGGTCTCGAGGCAACGACGAAGATTCAGCAACGAGTGGAAGCTCAGTGAAGCGACATGGGGCCTGCCCCATCTGTCAGCCCCCTCTTCGACGTCTTCTTCATATTTGATCCATCTGGCGGTCTCGCGCCATTCACGTTCCTCGCCGAGACCGTGCAGTTCGTCGAGCTGGACGAACACCTCGTGCGGCGAATGATCGTACATCTTCTTGAACGTGTCGTGCGGTATACCGCCCTCTTTCCGCCGGCCGATCTGCACGGTCAGATGGGCCGCCTTGTGACGTCTCATGCCACGAGGATCGTCGCTCCGATGGGACTCGAGATCGTCGATGTCCAGCTCCTGCAACGTGCTCGCCTCCTCCGGCTGCACGCTGACGCGGCGCGCGAGCACACCAGTCCCGTCCGGCAGGCCCGCCCCAGAACGCTTTCGCCATTGTGGATCCTCTTGCAACGAGTACTTCCGTGATTTGTGATGATGTCTTCTGCAAGGGAACGGAAAATTCGATCTATTAGAGGGGAACACGCTATTCCATTGTACGACAACGTCGTAGGGGTTTTTATGTGTGTGTACAGTAAATAATCGATGAGTGTTCGATAGGAGTTCGATGATTGTTCGAAGGCTCCTTGGGATTGAGAAGGGAAAGACACGTGGTGTGGAAATCGCTATTGGAACGGCACTATATGGAAGTTACAGTACACATTTAGTATTACAAAATTCTCATTGGTTTCTTAAGACTGGGCCTCGATTTGCGAGATATTCTTATTTAAAGTTTCTATAAAGTTTTTAAAGTCTTTACTTAAAATTTTTATATAGTTTTTAGAAATATTGTTAGTTTAAGTAAATGATTGATACCTTCGTTTCGATACTGGGTATTTTTAGTATCGATACCTTCGTTGGTATCGAAAAAAAGTACTCGTATCGGATGGAGCGAGTAATCGATATGAAAGCCAATGAATGGGAAGGTGGTTGTCGTTTTGTTATATTACTTTCTTACTAAATGTTCATTAATAAAATATATTATATTAATAAAAAAGAACTTTGTATTCATATTCCTTCGATACAAGTAGGTATCGATACTTTTGGTGCGATACTAAGTAGATATCGTTGCTTTTTTTCGATGCAAGTTATGAATAAAAGTATCAATACCTTGACGGTATCGGTTTATCCCTACTCTCGATTGTTACAGAACTTTCTTCAGAAAAAAAAAGAACAATATTTTCATTATAAATATCTAAGATGTCTGTGAGATGTTCGAGGAAACCCCTTCCGTTAGACTTCCGCGTGACGGCTCAAGGCTCGGTAGTTCTACGGTTAATAAAAGACAGAAGCTAGCTGGCTAGCCTAGGCTAGCTAAAATTCTCCTACGCGTGCAGATGAGTGACGTCTACGACCGCACGTTCGGCCAAACGGTTGCAGCGAAAATGCTATATAAACAATAGAGCATCACACCCGGTTGACACAAAGGCACGCGAGGCGACCGAGTGCCAGAATTGTTTTTGCGCTTGACCCTGGGTCCCAGTCGTCGGTGCCGTTTGTGGTCTGCCATTGATGAAGATCAGACGACGGAGATCCGGGCGCAAGTCTCTTTAGATCGAGTCGACTCATCGAAACCACGGATAGTTTCGGCTAGACCATTTTATCGTTTGCCTCGTCCCATCGTTACGATAATATTCTAAGTCTAGATTTTCCATTTTCACATCTCCTCCTGCAGTATATAATACCACACACACAGAGACCTGTCTATAAACGCGCTCGAAGAATTCATTGTGGCGTGGTTGGTATTAATTGTGTGTTTTGTGAAACTGGTGAAACTGTTAGAAATGAATACAGTGGATTTTCTGGTCGTTTGGGACATATCAAGATTAGCTTTTTTTGGCCAATTTTGTGAAGTATCATATATGTATGTATAGAACATTCAATTAGATTTTGTTCTTTGAGTCGGTGAAACTGTTAGAAACGAACACAGTGGATTTTCTGGTACATTTGGGACACATCAAGATTGGCGAATTTTGCGAAGTATCACATAGGTAAATACAGTACGTTCGATTAGGATTTGTTCTTTGAGCTCTGTCCCGAATAAATGACTACCTTGATTAACCTGTGGCCCAGAAAATCAGAATCCACTGTGTACGACTTTGGTGGTCACGAAGATTCGAGAATACAAAGAGAGAATGGTGGTTTACCAGAAATGGGACAGATACTTTTTGAGCAGTCTGATGCGACCGATGTCCATGTTGTAGCGGTCCGGCCGACGATCGTAAAGCAGCGACATGATGGGGATGTTATTCTGGACACACGTTGCATTCGTCGAACAATCACCGTGGGAATCGAACGTGCAAAACGAACCCGCGTTTGACAAACTAATTAAGAAGAACGCGAAGCCAGTGGCCTCGTGTATGAGACTGCCTGGTACACACAGGCTCGCAGAGTCAAACGTGAATCTCTGTCTGGCCGAAGGCCATGACATTAGACAACGATCGCGAAATGGTTCGCGTCCCTTCCGCTAAACATCGTGCAATTATCTAATAACGACACCGAACCGCTCTCGCTAGAAGAGGGAAAACGAAACCCACCTGAATCAGTTGTTGTCGAGACAAGGGGAAGCTCTCACACCCTCTGGACACTTAGGCAGCTTTCTTATCGTGAATTTAGTGCGGTACACGGAATAATTCGATTGTTAGAAAATTCGAATGGGACTAGGCGACCAAAGGTTTTCCTTTTTTGTTTTGTTGTTACGGTGATGTTACGAAATTTTCTGTTTTTTCAAGGGACTGGTGTTTGGTATTTGATCAGTGATGATGGCGATCATGGATAAGGAGCAGATCGATCCAATGAATCGATATTTTTTTGAAGAATCGGTAATAAGATCGACTAATTGTTAGAAAAAAAGATTGTTGGAAAAGAGAACATCGTTCCTGACAAACGATTTCTTTGTTCAATTATTGTCAAACTGGCTTTTGAAATATGTTTACTAAACAATCTCTAACTGATTTCAAATCTTTTGAATTTATAATATGCAAACTTCAACTATAATTCTTTTCCCTATTGTATCACTACGTTTAAATTTCGTGCCTTTGAAGTCCATGCCACACGCTCAAACTTCATACCTCTAAAGTTCATGCTAGACGCTGTACACGACAGATTCAAATTTGCAATCCATCGATAATATTATATCGATATATTATCGATCTCCAAACATCGATTCGAAAAACATTGATGCATCGACAGAAAATATCGATGTTTTTTTGAAAACATCGATACGTCGTTGCCATTCTTATACGAACGGAAACGAAGAAAAAGTTCTGTGGGAGACGGTTTCGTGAAACGTTCTACCGAAGCACGAACAGCAGTGATAACCGACCTCTCGTGTAATCGGGCGAGTTGCGTGCAAGGATATGAAAATTGTCGCGGTTAAACTTTACTACCAGATCTCCACCGGATGATACGGTGCCCGCGATCGATGCTCTCTCGTGTATCCGTAATTGCCTCCGGGCTGGGAGGGCACACGCACATCAGTGAACAACCGTGCCCGTACGAAGGAATCCCTTAAGAATGTTCCCAATCGGTTATTACGAGAGAACAAGGTCGACTCGTGTAACGTAGATACATAAACTTCTTTTCCATCGGTTAACCTACGAAAAAGCTTTTTCTACGATCGAATCGAAGACGATAACTTAAAAATAATACTTGAAAATAAAAACGGAGTAGAACATCGTCTAGACATAGATAGCATTAAACATTACTGAAACCTTTATTTAATTGCATTTTCTAAATCGAAGGATGCTGTAAATGTATAAGCATGCGTAGTCTAGATGTAACATAGTTATGCCAGCGTTTTTTCCAATCCTCAAAACACTTCAGAAACATCATTTTTGGATATTATTGGTTTTTGATTTTACGAAAAAAAAAAAAAAATTTTTGTACAAGCTACCAGAACGATGCAAACGAGTTAATATAGTATGGAGGACAATATACCGAGCCACTTTTATCCACCTGTCGCGGTTCTTTCTGGCGACCTCGTGGAGAACAAGGCGTTCTCCAACATTGTTCACGAAAATTATCGGTACACCTTTAACATCGATGATGTAACCGTGGACGGAACTATTTATAAACGAGGTCTAACGCTTTTTTCCCTCGAGGTTCCGATCGGACGAGCGGGTTTTCTTTGTGTATACACGTAAATAATAGGTAGTTTTAAACACCAATAAATCCCACTGTTTCACCATGCTTCGAATATTAATTCTCGTTTGTTGGCTCTTCTTGAGGATTGTGGGCTGACAGTCATTTGGCATAATCACGTTTACGGAAGAAGCATCAGCTTGTCTGTATGTGTCTACCAACGAGTCTGAATCGCGGAGCCAAACACCGTTCGTAGCCCTATTGAGCAAACTCGACGATATATGTACATCATACGGACCTATAGCGCGCGAAGGTGACAAAAATTCGAAGGCAAACGAAGATAAACACAGACACATACATAAGTATAAATAGAAATGATGTATGCAAGTTTTAATTTCGATACGCTAGCTTGTGCAGCCTAAAGTTACCCCTTGAATTAATAACAAAAAACAGATGGATTCGGATCACTTTTGATCCATAGTGAAATTTTAGGTACTAAACTATCAGCTGGTATTAATCCTATTGGTAGTAGCCACTGGGCCAGTAAAGCATGGGTCAAAAGTGACAGTTCCTTTCTATAAAATTATGATAAAAAAGTTCTTTAATTCTTCTGAATAAACTTTCTTTTGTCCAGCACTGAAATTTTGCAAGGAGTAGGAAAGAGTGGAAGAGTGATGATAGATTGGGGAAAGTGAAAGTGAGAAGTGGCGATGGAAGGGCATAATGCTGAAAGGGTTGATGCATACCTCAGTCTGTCAGCTGTTTTTTTTTTATGATTTGGCCTGCAGATGTACATACGATTTGACGTTTATGGTATATAACTCTAAGTTTTTCTCGTAGAACACGTACACGGATAATTATATAAATCTTTCGAGATTTTCAAAGGATTACAACTGTCGGATCGGTCGGTTGATGAGACCGTACCATTGCAGATAAAGATAGGGAAGGAAGATTGGAGAGTTTCTGGGGGCGGTCTCGTGTTGAACAACCCTGTCGTAACTTTACACCCTAGTATAGTACTAATCCAGGTAATCAGATATTAGCTGAGTGTATGTACAATCTCCGTTACCCGGATACCAAGAGTTCAAATGCAGATAGCAATCGCGTACAGTAGGGGTAAACGCGCTAAATATCGCCTACCAAACTTTGGTGATCGTTCTCGACTGAAGGGTAATTGTTAAAGGTCTGAAATAAATATTATTTAGAGGATATTAAAATTCCGTGGACAATGCTTATGCTACTGTGAAGTAATGCAGGTGGTCTAAAATATACAGGGTGTCCCATTTAAATCGACCCACTCGAATATCTCCGAAACTATTGACGATAATAAAAAATCTTTCAGACGAAAGTTAAATGGTATCAGGGGGCACACTCTCTGATGTCAGTAACTTTTTTTATGTGGACGCGTAGAGGTCACATAAAGGTCAAAACTTTGTGTTTTTAATGGAATCGTATATTTTTTAATACACTATTTGAAACACCCCTTTCAAGGACTTAGCAAATTATCAAGGTGCCCCGTAATAAAAAAGTAATAAAAAAAGTTATAAAGATTAGAAAAAATAGAAACATTAGTTCTGTTATATTCTACTTACTTGTGCTCGTGTTTCTGGTGCCTGCGACATTTCCGGTCCTCGTCGTGGCCACCGGTCGCACCTCCAGCCACGTTCGACGTGGTGGTCTCGTCCTCTCTGGACGTGGGAACGTCCTCCTCTTTGATCTGCTCGAACTGTACACGCGGGCTACCAACATTTGGGCTGTCGCTGTAACCGGAAGCGGCCCTCTCCGAGATCGGAGCCTCGCTCTCGCTGCTGGCTGCGTTCTCCGTCTCCTCCGCGGTCTCCTCGTCGACATCTTGAACGGTACTGCTGGTCGACACACCGTTGTCCATACCGTCCACCTCGTGTCCGCCGCCATTTCCACCGTGGACCTGACCGTTCTCCTCTTCTGGGCCGACTTCCGCTGTGGATCCTTCGCTGTGAACAGAGGCGATGGTTCGTTTCCCTTTTCTTTTCCATTATTTCCCCTCTTTTTTTGTTTACCGATCCCACAGAGTAGCGAGCATAAATGCTTTTTTTCCGTTTGTAAATTTCAGGTATATATTGGGCAGCATTGTACAGGAAAAAAATTGTTTCAAACGAATGGTATATTGAGGGTGACTATGCTAGCGACAGGAATTTAAGATTATATAAGGTCTGTCTAATAAGAGCGTGCCCGGCACACTTTTTACTTGGATGAGGGTGTCAGAGAAATTCCGATAAATTCAGGTAGTCTGATCTTTTGTTTACGACGCTTCCATGTCAATACGGTGTCGAATCTCCGTTATTCTTTATAATTACCTCTGTTATCTTCCATATTGTACACGAAGGTCACTTTGATATTTTTATTTTTTCTTTAAACTGAACGCTCTATGTTTCTTTGCAGAAATTAAATGGAATTTAATTGAAAGTCAAAAATGAACTAAGATTACATTTACATGAAAAAATCAAGAAGACTGTCAAAATTTAATGCGTAAAGGATGTAGAAAAACAAAGATTCTTCCATGGAACGTGCAACTTTCGTTGGAAACAATTTTTTAAAAAATATAGACAGATATGCTCGCCATTGTATACTTGTCCTCTGTTTCATTATTTCCGTTCTTTTTTTTTTTTGGGATCTCCTTGTTTCGGATTCACTTACGGTGAGAGATGTCGTCGCATAGATCTCGAATGAAGGCTCTTCAGAGGCATGTGCGGATGTGGGTAACTTCTCTTTCGGTGCTCTGCGTGCAAAACAGAGAATATTACGTTAATAAACTATTACTACTCGAGGCATTCAGTCGGATCTAAAGGTAGGTTGAAATCCCCAAAACACATTATGATTTATTCCATAAAGGAACGCCTAAGGCGTAAAGCATTTTTCCTGACCTTCACAGTCACAGCTTAATTTCCCTCCTGAAATACAATAACTTTCTCTCTCGAAGCATTTTTTTTGTATCGAGACAAATAAGAGAATAATTAAAGCGTGTAACAAAAGTGTCGTAAGTCCCTGAAATGGATCACTCGTGAGGTGATTTTGAATAAGTTTTTCCTTAGCAAAAATATTCTCCGAGGCTTTGTTAACGAGATATTAACAGAAAACCCCGACCAATCAGAGCCAGAGTCTACCAACAGAGCTCCGATAGTGTTAATTATCGAGGGAACATCGGAATAATATATAATACGTACGATTGAAGTCGCGATCGCCATGTCGCAATGATGGTCCTCGGTCCCGATCTCGATTTCGATCGGAGCCAGCCGACTCGGACGTTGATCCGAACCGGGCTACGTCGAACTTCTCCCCGGCGTCCATCGCGAAAACCTTCTCCATCTCCTCGTCGAGTTCCGGTCCCGCTTCCGCGCCATGACCGTCGACCTGACGCACCAAAAAAAGAAGAAAAATCTGAGAAACGAGGAAACTGAAAAGATACTTTTAAAAAAGTCTTTACAAGCAGAGGGGCCCGAATTTGATGTAGTTAATTGATTTTAATAAAACTTTTATGTATATGGCGTACTTTTTCCTCTTTACAAATCACTTATAATAGGGGTCAGATATTTGAAAGTTTTGTGAATTATTTGCTATTGGAAGTTTTCTGCGTCAGACTTGAATACATAGAAGTTGTGTTGTTTAAAAGAAGTCTTGAAAGTTCTTGCTAGTTTTCAAAGTTTCGAAAGCTTAGGTGAGTATTCCAGTATCTTAGAAAAGTATTTCTAATACTTCTCACGATACTGTTCGGGCCAGAAGCATTCAAAATGCTTCTGTCAGATACCGAGATTAAGCTTTCGAAGACTTATTGAAACTTTTGAGATTTTCGGAACTATCAAGACTTTCAAGACTTCCAAGACGATCAAGACCTATACAACTTTTCGAGACTTAAGACTTTCAAGACCCATCGATCACTTACGTCGACAAAAGAATCATTGGTCAATACTGATGGTTCCCCTCTTTGTTACACAACACACATACCGATCCTGGTGGATCAATGGACACCAACCTATCAAGGGTGGGGGACAAGAATCAAAACGAACGTTCGAAAGATTCTTGAGGATCACCGATTAAATATCTTTGAGAATAATAATTTAATTATTGATTATTAACATTTAATAATTTAATTTTCTTCAAATCGTCCGATTTATGCCTATCCGTCGCGAATTGATGATCTGCAACCACGATTCTACACATCTCGTATACACGAGTCACAGCGAACTGAATTTCCCTTTCACCTGGATTCGTTCGCGGCTGCGATCTCCAAGTGGTAGCGGTCTTCCCTTTCGATTATTCTCGCTTATCCGCTCGTGTAGCACCTTTCACGATAATTAACGTTCGCCAGCGGCTGTTTGCAATCGTTTCATGGAACAGGAACCGTTAACAGAGGTGAAGAAAAGAAAAAACAGTAAATTCCCCCTGAGTGCAAACGGTTGGTGATCGTTAATGACCTCGCTGATGTCATCGAGTAACGACGAATGGCCCCCGAACGAGCCTTGTTCGATGATGGAGATGTATGTTGGATTTTCCCGCGCGCACTGCATAACTTCCCCCCATGTTAAAAATTCTTAAATAGAAAATAACTTTTTTATTCGAGTTAATGTAAGGAATAGAATGGTGAGTGAGATTCATCGTTAGAGTGAAAAGGATTAAAGTTGCACGAAGGGATCAGAAAAAAATATTTAAAAAACACGAAATACTGCAAGGCCAGTCCAAAAACGCGGCAGATCCTCTCCACTGATATACTGACAAGAGGATCAATCACCAAAATAAAGAAACTCGATTTCACTGCGATTCTTTCCTTCGAAGCAATTCGCGTAGATCACAAAACGGAAGAGGTCTAGAAGGATCCAGAAAGAGAATAGTGGTGTCCTGTGACTATCCACGCCGTGCAGAAACAACGCAAAAGTGTTCCAAGACCACATGTAATAAAGATTCACAAGGTACAAAAAAAAAACCATGTTTACCACACAATCCAGCCCCCCTCACACAGACACACAATGTTGTAGATCATCGTCCAACTCACGACAAAAGGACCGTCACCGATTGATCGCGAGATGGTTTTGGCGAACGTTTTCCAGGACGATGAACAATCTCAGGTATACATATACTAAGAAAGTAAAGATCTTAGGTATACGCGAAATAATCTCAGGTGCATACGAAAGGATCAGAAATGGGCAAATTCATTATCTAGATAAAGAGTTTCGAATAACGAATAAAAGATAAAAAAAGTACTTCGGCATTTTTGATTGATTAAACGTGGAAATTTAAATTTCTATAACAAAATTACACTTCCTCTTGAATGAATAGACACTTAGCAAACAATGATTTAATCTCATTAACTGTTTAAAGCTCAGGTTGACACTCTTAAATACTGCTGCACTTCACTGTGTATTATTCGAATGAAATCGTGCCCAACTCTGGAACGAATATCGGGTATATACGAAAGAATCTCAGGTACGAAGAATCTTAGGTGTAAACGAAAGAATTTCAAGTATATATGAAAGAATCTCAGGTACGAATAATCTCAGGTATACACGAAAGACTCTCAGGTAAATACTAATAATCTTAAATATATATGAATAATCTTAGGTACATACAAAAGAATCTCAGGTATATACGAAACAAACTCTGGTATACACGAAAGAAACTCAGGTACGAAGAATCTTAAGTAACATACAAGAGATACTCAAATACCAAATAGTCTCAGGTACGAAAGAACAGACACGGAGGCTGAGCTCGTGATCGTTTGGGGGTGCAGAAGATACTGGTCCCGGCCCGGTGAACACGTATGTATATAAAACGAGTGATCACACCTGGTGGCTCGTCCGCAGGGAGCGGCGCAACCAACGTAGAACCTTGCCCGACGCCCGTTGGAGAAACGACTTCCCGGTGGTGTTCGCGGCGGCCTCGGGCATGGCATCCCGGGCCGAAGTGACACAACCCCGGGGGGTCTCTGGTCGCGGTACTCTTGTGCCTCCGTAGCTAGAGGAATCTAAACTGACGGAGAGGGTAGACGGCTGCCGGGCGACCAACAGACAGAGAGCCGCAGAACGGGTCGTGTTGGGGATGGACGAAACGGAGGGGGAGGGGGATGAAAGGGAAGGAGGGGAATGGAGGTACTGGGGTGGTGGTACCCGATCGATATCAACCCCATACGTCGCGGCCGAACGACGGATCCAACCCGAAAGGTTTTACCCCTGTCTTTCTCCGGGACCGATCATGGTTCTCCCGGGACGACGATGACGATGGTGCACAGTGGGGGCTGGTTCATTTTTGGGCACCATTCAATTTTTTAATCCTTTCATTCCCACTGGTGCGATATGGCTATGTATTTTAAATTACGAAATAAAATATTAGTATCCTGTATTTTTTCACATCTGTGAGTATATGATAGTTTAATAATTATATTCTGGTCCTGTATAGGTGACACAAATTTTTTTTATGTTTTTAAAGGCTTATTAAAGTAAGACATTATTGCCCTTTGCTTTTTTCGTTTGCTGGAATTCGAGTATTGGTAGCAATACAATGAGAGCTTATAAAACTGTAATTTGTTTTAGATATGTCAAGAGGGTTGAATTTTGTAATGTCAATTATTTGTATATACAAGTGGTAGAATTGAAAGAATTTGCCAAATGGCATTAGGCGGTTTCAATATGTTAAAAAGCTCCTGTGAATCAATTATACACATGGTTTGTAATATACACAAAAATATAAGAAAATATTTCTTTGGTCCTTTTTAAATATTTCGGGAATGAAAGGGTTGAAATCCATGCAACAATACTGAAAGCATATTTTTATCTCTCAGTTTCTGATAAAAAAATTATTTTTACAGATACCAGATTTCTTCGAACGATTGCGATTTTTCCACACGGAATCGTCTGCTCCGAGGTCTGAATTCCTCAAAGGGAATCTCACGATGCATATTTCACGCAGTCTACTGGGAACGGATTTTCTACCCAGAGTGGACTTTCCGATTAAAGTTCCATTTAGGTAATTTCAAGAGCCTCGAATATTGCCGACCAAACGCGCGATCGATGGAAACGGCGAACAAGAGGAAGCTACAGAGCGTTTCTGGGTGTACGTACATATGTTCCGTGTGCTGAATACGCGGGTAATTCAGGTGTAAAGAGGAATATTCTCGCCTACCCGAGTAGTGTGTACTTTATTGTTTCAGCATTCAACAGAGTCGGAGGATCGATTGCACGATAATAGGTCGGTGAAATGGGATCTACCAGATCGATTTCTGACCCGTAAGGATATTCAGGGTGTAAAAATGTATGGTTATATACTTTAACCAGCTGTGAATGACGAGTATATTCGTTCTAAAGAAATAAATTTCATGCGAGAAAAGTAATTACCATTTCTTATTTAAATGAAAATATTTGCGAAAACTAAACCATATTTGTAAATTTTAGGCATTTTAGAATATTTTGAGGCTACTCGACTAGACTAGTTCTTTTTACATCATTTTTCGAAATCTTTCTTTAACAGGAAAATTATGAATGTTTTTGTTTCGTAAATAATATAAATCGATTTAAAAAAAAAAACATGTGCTATTTCCTTGTAATTTAATTTAATTTTATAGCAGCTGCATATACTCTGTGTTGGACGAGTATACTCGTCATCACACAACGTAGGTAGACATTTTTAAAAAGCGGCAACACATCTAAGAGGTTAAAAGTTAGCCACGTGATATTCTGCGACCGGTCGACGTTCCACCGACCACCACAAACGTATTAAGTGCACAAAAATTAATTCGTGGCCTTTACAATTATTGATTCAAAACATTCATTATTTTTGCAAGAGGGGATACGCCAACTACCCGAGAAACGGGCGTAAGTATGTAAAAAAAACTGGGGGGAATATTTTCAAGACTAGACTGTATTTCCGTTTTTCGTAAATAAACAGCAAATCCATAAAAAAAAAGATCACGAATTAATTTCTACGCCTAATATCTAACGTACCTACCCGTGATTAAATCAGGATTCACTTAACACTCACGATTCTAACTTCCTTCTACTCCAAAAACGCTTCTCGAAACACCTGAATATTACACACACACTATACAACGAAGGTGCACAAACACAACCAGGTATTCTATACCATGAATCACACACACCATATAAATACTAAAATCGCACTAACACAAGGTTAAACCCCAAACCCTCTGTCCTTTAAACACACACACTTCGAACAATACCACTTTACACAGCTTAAAGTTAAAGTTCAACCGAAAGTTCAAATCAAACGACCTTTCCAGCGAAGACGAAAATTATAATGATTATTTGTCACGCACAATTTTATTCCGTGTTATCACAGACGCAAGGATGACAGGGCCACAAATTTAGGAATCGACCCGTGCACCGGGCATTTAGCTCCAGTCTCCC